TCTGACATTCGACTGCCGCGGTAGTGATTTATACAGGCCGAAGGAGAATGATGATGGAATGGTGTGTATCCACAAATACTTAATCCATCTTCTCTTCTTTTCAGTGAACATGCATCTCACCTTGATAATCGATGGCCGAGAGGAACCCTTCGGAATCGATGTGGACCCATCGATTACCCTCGAGGATCTATCCGGATTGGTTGAAATTGAGGTCAGTAAACCAATTCGCCGATTTATTTGAATCAAGCCTACAGGCTGCATCAATTCTGACTCCTTTGTGGATTGTTTGATGCAGCTCCGGATACCCTCTGCCCAACAGCATTTCTTCTTGCGTGGGACCCGACTCCAAAGGCCCCCACAGACCACGCTGGCTGAATGCGGGATCACGACTGACGAAATCATGGAACTCAAACAAGTCAGGCCTTCGTCTTCGCAAACCGCCCTCAATCCTCGTGCACCACCTATTGCTGGAGGGTGAGAAGATCTGTTGGCTGTCCTCGTCCATGGCAAGAATAACACATCTAACCTCAATCCCCCCCCTCTTTTTTTGATTTTTATCAGGAATATTGCCAACGACATTGATCGAATGAGGTTGCAAATATTAGGCGATCCTGCATTGATGTCTCAACTGCGCGCGGTTCGTTTTCTAGAATAAAGAAGACTTCTCAGCTTTGCAAAAAATACACCCGGTCCTGTTTATGGACTCGTTGCAAGATTGTGTTCTGACGCTGAATGGATGAATGATGATGATATAGTCGAACCCAGAGCTTGCAAATGCGGCCGAACAATCGCCTGAACGATTTGCAGAATTGATGCGTACCTTTCAACAACAACAACAATCTAGTGCACGACAGCGTCGTCAAGATGAAGAATTACTCCATTCGGACCCATTTGACATCGAGGTAAATTAACCCTGAATCACCTCGTCTGATTTTCCTCTGGCGACAAACAACACCAACTCATTCTTTTTTTTTCAGGCTCAAAGAAGAATCGAGGAACATATCAGACAAGAGCGCGTTTGGGAGAACATGCAGCATGCGATCGAATTCTCTCCCGAAAGTTTCGGAAGGGTGACGATGTTGTATGTGGACGTCGAAGTGAACGGGCATCCAGTCAAAGCATTCGTCGATTCGGGCGCCCAAATGACGATCAGTTAAGACCTTCTTTAGCTTTGATTCCATCAAATTCTGTTTAACATCGCTGATTCCTTTTTTTTTTCTAGTGAGTCCGAATTGTGCTCAGACTACCGGGTTAGCCTTCCGACATTTATTTGTTTAAAAAAGAACGACAAATGCTATCAATTCTTTTCTGTCGATTGTTACATGAGACAAGATCCAGATTTCTTTCTTTTTTCTTTGGAGTCCTTGTTAACATCCTTTGGTATCTGTAGAATTATGCGGTTGATTGACGAAAGATTCAGTGGGATTGCGAGGGGTGTGGGAACTGCCAAGATCTTGGGTAGAGTCCATTCTGCTCAGATGAAAATTTCAGATCTTCATCTACCGTGTTCGTTCACCATCATGGAGGTGAGGATCTGTCCACTCACCGTACTTTTGTGAAAGATTATTCGCCTACGATCATTCTCTGATTGGAAACTTATCGCACCTCGTTGATCAACAGGGCAAAGGGGTTGAGTTGCTGTTCGGACTGGATATGTTAAAGAGGCACCAAGCAGTGATTGACCTATCGAAGAATGCGCTAATCATCCAAGGGAAAGAGGTGCGGTTTCTAAGTGAACACGAACTGCCGGCCAGTGCGAAAGAGGGCGAGAACGAAGCCGAAGATGAATCCTCGGAGATTGAACGGGCAAAGAACCAATCCTTACTCGAAGACAACAGTCAGAAGGTGATTGCAGATACCGCCAATAGATCGGCGACCCAACCGCCGGCCAATGGATTGACGCCCCCATCGCCTTCAATGGGTCGGCTAGGCTCCGCTCGTGGATTAAGTCCCGACCATAAGGCAAAAGTCGAAACCCTCGTCGGCTTTGGAGCCGATCCAATTCAAGCTGAAGCTCTGCTCAGATCGACCGACTGGAACGTCGACCTGGCTGCTAGTTTATTGTTCTCTCAATAATCGTTTGGGTGTGTCTTACTTAAACCGATCCGAAAACTTCTGCATCTTCTATTTTCTGTTTTGTGTATTGCTCCAGACAATTCTATAGTTAGAGGTTAGAAAAGATAGATCTCCAATCCAATTCTGCTATATCTCCTGTATTTCCTTAACCTTTTGTTTTTACATCTTGACGCCAGTCAAAGCCTTCTTCATGGATCATGATTGTAGAATCGTTGCCGTAGTTATGTACATGGTCATGTGTTATGGAGACCCACAAGGATGGCAACTTGGACAATGTTATGAAAATTATCTGGTGAATGTTTTGCAACTTCCTAGCAATCCACCTTGACAAAGACAGATGGTCATCTTTCTTGAACATTGTTGCCTGGCGGTGCCCAGAAGTCAAGTTTGAAAAACCCAAGAGGACAACAAGAAAGATGTAGATGTATTTCGGGAAGCAGAGGCAGAGGCAGAAGCAGAAGCAGAAGCAGAAGCAGATTGGCTTTTACTTGACTCAAGCCCACGATTCTCAGTGGGTTGTCCCCTCCGCCTGGCACCAGCTAGGGCAGCTGGAGGGAATGACATTCTGGTCAATCGCTCGGAACTTTATGCTCCAGTCTCATCTGGAGAAGGCAAAAACTCCAACTTGACACAAGAGTCCCTCGAGGACACACTTGGATGACATAGAAACAATCACCCACCAATCAACCATCACCAATAAAACATTATGATGTTTGCCGGGCATGACATCAGGCAAGAGTGGGGGGAGCCAGAATTGTAAAAGGTTTAAGGGGAAGTTGGGTATGTATGTATGCAGATGTAACTACGTAACACGTTTCTCGTTGGTGATGGAAACAAAGACCAAATGTTTGTTCGGTGTTGCAGGAAGGTGCCGAAAGACTCAGGAGTGAGGAGGCAGCTGCTAAAGTAACACTATCAGCACCGGAGGCTTGAAGGTCTCCATAGCTCTGTCTCCACTTCGCCTCCCGGCACAATCGTCACATCGACGGCCATCGTGCCGGAGACGCCCCCTGCCACTCGAGATGTGTGGCAGTTCGGATGTCGATAAGACTTCATAAATCAAGTACAATCAATATTAAGTAAATACTATCCATAACCTCTGCTTGCACTTGAAGAGTTGAAAACAGGATCAACCACGATGAGCATGCCAGGAAGTATGCATAGCCTGTGGCTCAATTGATGGGTCGATCCATTATATCCAATCTGAACTACATTGAAGGCCCTACAGGCAATCAAACCTTCCTGGCGGAGGGGACTATTATGTATGGTTGCTGATCAGGGGTGGGCACATTCTGGAAGGCTATGGGTGTGTGGCAGTAGGTGGCAGTGGAAACAAGCGAGTGGATGCTCGGTGAGTCAATCCCAGGCGATCCCTCGGCCATTGGTTTCAGCCGATAAACAACCGGCTCCGCTCCTCGGTCGTCCCGGGCACTGCTTCCCTCTCCTTTCAAGATATCGAATCCGTTGAAAGTCTCAGTGAGATACATATTTACAAATATCAAGACCAAGCCAAAGAGGGATTGAAACACTTGACGGCTGTCATCTCAAACGTCCTCATCGAGCCCCCTCATCTTCCCATCTTCCAAGCTTGACGTTTGGCGGTGGGTCCATCCTCAGTGCTTCTTCTCATCCTTGTCCTCATCCTTTCGCCTCTTCCCAGCTTGCGCCATCGAAAACAGTCGAGTCGGACCTGCTGTTTGCTCCGCCACCCGCCTCTCCTCTCAACTTCGATAAATCCCATCCTTGGCCGCTGTTAGGACTTATCCTCCCTGCCATATTTCAATCAAGACCAAGGTCATCTTCAAGCCCATCGCCTCCCCCCCAAAAAAAAACCACAGATCGATGCGATAGGCACACGCTATATCTTAATCCGACACGGTTCTGATCGATCTACCCCTGCGGACTCCCAGTGCACCTGGGCGCCAGCACTTCGCCTTATCTATTTACTTGGCCCGATTAGACATCCTCCTTCACATCCTCTCGACCTATCCGGATCAAGGCGCTTTCTCAAGTTGACATCCCTTGGCCAGTGCTTAGCGAGTCGCCAGCTGCTGGCTCCATCCTCCCGGCTTCACAAGCGTTCTTCTTGAATTCTTCTTTCGAGGGTCTCATCTAATCTGCCTGCCTCCCTCAAATTCAGTCCAGCCTTGCCGGCCCCACTTGCAACGGCCATTCACTCGTCTAACAGGGCACACACTCATACAAAGTCATTCAACGACGAACAATTATTATTCATACCGTTCTGTGTTTTCCTCGACCTGCCTCTTACCTACCAGGACATTCATTTTCAAATTGGCAATCTGCACCACAAAATAAAACTCGAAACAGAACAAGAAAAAAAAAACATCGCCCGTCACAACATCATTCAGGATTAGACATAGTCAGGCGCAGTCGGTATATTTGAGTTTCACAAGCATCAGCAGTTGACTGGAAACTCATACAGCTCGACATACACACAAGATGCCAACATCATCACGTCAGTCCGGCCGGCACCAGGCCACCGACTCACTTGAACACATTGCATTGCCCAACTTGGACCGTTCGACTACGTCCCTGACATCCTCGTCGGTAGCGGAAGACGGGAATAAAGTCGGACACGAGAATGTGACGATCGATCGCTCCCGCTCGACAGAAGAAGGAACTAAGGAAGACCATTCGAGTCTGTCCGAGAAAAGAAGCTCCAAGAAGAGGCCGCCTGCAGAGCCTCTGGTGATCAAGAAGATGGCTGGGGTGGACGACATCCCCTTGGAAGATGATTCTCATATGCCCGCCATGACTTGTCGAGCCCTGCTCACAGGCCTCTTCATCAGCTCCACAGCGGCCGTGATCCAGCAATTCTTTTTGTTCAAACCCTCAAGATCCCAAGTGCAACCCCTCTTTTTGCAGGTTGGTCTCGACTCTCTCTCTTGTTTGACTCAGCTTGGTTTCCGGATCACTGATGGAGGTGCAATTATAGTTGGCCTGTCTCTTGGTCGGTCGCAGTCTCCAAAATATCCCTGGCCCTACCTGGTGGAACCCCGGACCCTATTCGATCGTAAGCTCATCAACAACTGTAGAAAATTCCCAGATCTTGAAAATTCCTCATTCTTTAATTTTTCGCATTTTAGAAAGAAAACACTTTGAGTGCGATCATGGCCACTGCAGCTGCGGTGGGCACCTTGGCCGTAGAAGTAAGCTCAATTTTTTTCTTACATGTAGTTACACGAGTTGTGCCGGATAATAACCTCCAGAACCAAAGATGATAGCAACGCAGGAACTTTATGAAGAGCGTCCATTTCATTACGCCACCGCGATGGCCATCATGCTGTTAGTGCTTCCGCCAAAATGCCTTCTCTAACGGGATGTCAATATAGTTTCCACCACTGATTTGTAAACCGCCCCAAAATATTCTTTGATGGTTCCACACACTTCGTATCTAAAGGAGTTCGCAGTTAATCGGGTATGGGTTCGCTGGCTTATTGAGAGCCCCACTGATTTATTCAAAAAGGGCTGTTTTCCCGTGCGTATACAATGGAATTCTCTTGCCCCCCAAATTTATCTCTGCTTGCACTCACATCTTTTTTTTTTGGTTGATTGTGTTTGCATGAATTAGAGCTGTGCTACCTGCCGTTGCTCTTTTCCACTCCTTTCATTATCGCGATGGCACACACACCGAGCGCCATTTGGGCTTATTCAAAACCGTGTTCTTTGGAACAGCCATTTGTAAGTCCATGGTGTTTCTCGGTGATTCGTCTCTCTCTTGAGGCCTCCGCTGACGGATGCTTGTCTGCTTCCTCCAGATGAGATTTTCCCACAATACATCGCCCCCACTCTCCAAGCAGTCAATCCCTTTTGCTTGGCATGGCAACATAGTCCAGCGGTCACCCGCTTGTTCGGTGGAGCTCTTGCTCATGAAGGACTGTGAGGACCTCTTTCTCCACTTTTTTTTTCATCATTTGTACCATCAAGTTCTTGCTTTTGACTTTAACTTGACCATGCAAATCTTTCTTAGTGGAATGCTGAGTTTGTCGTTTGACTGGAACGTCGTGGGTGCACTGGGTCCTCTCTTCACACCCTTCGCGGCCCAGGTAATTCCAGCTTGCACAACACTTGCTATTTCCACCATGCTTTTACTGATTTGAATTCTATGTGACACATTGAATGCAGGTTAATGAATGGGCTGGTGTCCTGCTCGCCTACCTGTTTTATCCAGTCGGCTGGGAAAATTCGTGGTTTGGTCAGTACAAGCCGACTTATACATTTGATGTGTCGAGCACCAAGCTAACCCCAACCGCCGACAATTGGACCTGCTTGAATGAATAGAGGGAGGCAAACACGATGGCTTCCCCTTTCTCAGTACACAGCTTTTGACCCACGAAGGAGAGCTTTACAATCGGACTGCAATCATGAAGGAAGACGGCACCGGAAACTGGGAAATGATTGAGAAACTAGGCGCTCCATATTTCAGCACGTCGTACATTTTGGCCAACATTGCTACCAGTTTGGCCGTCGGTGCGGCTGTCAGCCACTGTCTGTTTTGGGGCTGGGGGTCCATCACTTCTTTGTTCACTCGAAAGGGACTAGAGGAAGAGGAAGTCGACAAGCATCAGATCGTCTGTCGCAAATATGCTGAAGTGCCTCTATGGTAAGAGCTACTTGTAATGCAGGTTTCCGTACGATGATGGGAAAAATGAAGAGGTCTCAGCTTATGAACCGTTATAACATTATCTATCTCGCAGGGTATATCTTTCGATGCTTTTCTTTGCCGTTTCGGTTGCATTCTTGGCGGCCTCTCTCACCGATTCAGGGCTGTCGGCTCCCGCATTGGTCGTGGCACTGGTTTTGGCGGGCGTGTTGACCATCGCTTCAGCATATCTGAAAGCAACCACAGGCGCTTCTTTGGAAGTTGAGCCTGTTATACAGATGCTTGGGTGAGTCTTTTTACCTGCGATAATAACAATTAGTCGCCCTCAGATTGCTGATATTCTGGAGCTCATTTCTGTTCATTTTTTGAAAATAATGACAGAGGTGTACGTTCCTTTTACCCATTCAAGACTCTCAGACAGGATTATCCCAGAAGTCTCAGGAGTCAATGAGACCAAGAATAACATGACTTTCTTTTTTTTTCCCTGCAGATGGCTTTCCCAAGTGATGCTTTTGGGAACATGTGGTTCACAACGTAAGTGGGGAGCTAACCGAGTCCGAACTCCAAAAGGAATTGTCATTACGGTGTGGATCTGACAACTTTATAACACTAACAGGTATGGATCAGCAACGGTTTCTCAATCAATCAGCATGCTTCAGGTAAGCCTGCGGGATGTCTTCCACAAACAAATGCTCTCAAACTTACTAGTCCACTCATCATGAAATTAGGATCTCAAACTAGGGCAATACATGCATCTACCACCGGTTGGTTTTTCCTCCTGATTTTGCCTCGTTTGGAAAAACATAACTTGGGTTTTGTTGCAGGGCGCTGAAAAATGTTTTTTTCTTTTTCTTTTTTCAGATCAGTGTTTTGATTTTCCAGACAATCGGGACGTGAGTACCAATCACACGAGATTACTTGTCTGACTTCAGACGAAAGAAAAAAACAGTTCAAGACAATCTCACTCATACGGGTCAAATTTCATCCACAGAGTTGCGGGTGTCATATTCAATTACATGGTGATGAGTCTTGTGGTCAATACCAATCGAGAATTGTTAAGATCTGAATACGGAAACCAAGTGTTCACTGGAGTGGTTCTGGAAGATTTCCAAAGCCAAGCCATCAGGTGAGCATCACAGAGAAAACTTGTATTTTGGGCTCAAGAAGTGTTGATGACGCTGACCTTGACAAACCTTTGCTAATTTCTTCCAACAGTTGGGGTATCTTTGCTCATGAATTATTTAAAGCCGGTGCACGCTATGTGAGTTCTTCCAATATTCTTGGAACATGATCTTGGAAGTTTGAGACTAACATTGACAATGATTATCAGGTTATCGTGCCTATCAGTCTGGGAATCGGCTTCCTATTACCTATACCGTTTTACTTCTTGCACCGATTTATACCAAGGTGTCGCTTGGATCTTGTCAACACTCCGCTAGTCTGTGGAACTTTTGCTCTAGTTCTTGATCGTAAGTTTTCCCTTTCATCGCACCAAGGATGATGATTGTGAAGCTGACTTGATGTATTTTCTAGGCGCCAATGCGGGATTTACTATGTCTGTTCTTGTCGGATTCCTTTCTCAATTTTATGCTCGCAGATACCACCCACATTGGTCAGTGACATACTTCTGAAAGTTTGAATGGGATAACAATTGCTGATTGATCCCTCCCTCCCCCAAATTAGGTTTCACCGATCCAATTATGTGCTCAGTGCCGCCCTGGACGGTGGTGCCCAAGTGGTAAGTGTTGTGCTTTCTTGTGAAAACCGGGCTTAGCATGTCAAGCACCAGGCAGACAAGTGTATGCTCATTCAGAATTGACATTTCCCGACCATTTTTCTAGACGGCAGTTCTCCTAGGGTTTGTGGTTGAAGGTGGGGCAGGATGGAAGCGGCTCAAGTTCCCACAGTGAGTGCCTCATGATACAGCTCAAATATCTTATGCATCCTATCTAATTCGCCGGTTTAATGTTCACTGACTGGGCTGTGATTACAAACAGATATTTCTTAAACCCTGCTACAATACCCTTCCGAGAACGCGCTCCAGATTATTGTATGCTGCATACACCAACAGAATAATCTGATGGAAAATGAGCCGACAGAGCAGAAACCAAAAAAACCAAACATTCTCGCTACCCCATTTCATTCTTTGCCTGTCATCACACCACATCCTTTTTTTTTCTTTCACATACTCATTAGGTTTTCAGTCTTGTTTCTTTCCCTCTGGTAGATTTCCTTTGTTTAGACTTTTTTTTTTTTTTGGATTCAAGTTCAACCTGTTGTTTTCCTCTCGATTTGCTTGATTTTTTTATCGTTATTTTCTGATAACATGATGCAGAGGGCTGTTGTATCATTCCTTCTAGAGAACATTTTTTTGGGGGGTATCACTATTGAGAAGTAATATTATGGATTGTAACACTGAGATCTTCAAATCTTTTGAAGTCATAGAGAAAAACAGCATTGTAGAAGTCCATACATGATGGTGATCAAGAGCAAGTGCCAGCAGACAGCCATTCCAGACAATAGCCACATGAACCACTGTTTTTTCCCGGGGAAAGGTTGGACATATCTTTGGCATACATTAGAATTGACAATTGCAATACAGCTGTCACAAGGGCACCAAAATCTTGCAATAAGGATTGTAAGAATAAGCACTGGTCACAAGGTACAGCCTCTTGACAGAAACAATGGAACCCTTTAATTGGAGACTGGAGTTAAAACCAATGACCTGCAATTTATGCAGTCTGGCAAAACTGTAGAAAATGATCTCCAAAGAATGATTCTGAAGAGTAGGATAGAAAAAAAGTTTTGTAAAATTGTTGTAGAATTTTCTTCCTTTTTTTTACTTTTTTTTTGGGTATTTTTCAATCATTTTTCAAAGTAGCTCAAATAGTCAAGATCAACACAATTGTGTTCAAAAAGAATGATTATGAATGAAAAATTGAAGAAAACTGATCAACAGCTGTTTTTAAATAGCTTTGGAATGTGTAATCCACCAGACCAACCCTGCAATCAGCCACTGAAATCAAATTTAATTCCAATCCCACAGTCCAGTTTCTTCTGCTCTCTAAACCTTGGATCATTATTTTTTTTCCAATTCTTCATTTATAATAATCATTCTTTTCACATGCAATTGTGTTGATCCTGATTTTTTGAGCTACTTTGAAAAATGATTGAAAATTACATAGAGAGAGCAAGAGGAAAAAAATCCTCTTGGGATGAGGGGGTTCACGTACTGCTGATCACAAAATCAGCAGTCAAACTTTGTCAGAACGGCTGTCTTAAGGTTTATGGGAAACCAAGATAGTTTAGTTGGAGGTCCCCCTTTGGATTTGAAATCCCACATTTGAAGTTCATCAGGTTTGTCCATCAGCAAGCAAACCTTAAGCTGCATCAGCAGAGGTTTGGCCGGAAGGTGAACTGCCCTAATGAACCTATGTATGTACAGTCTCCTCCCAGATGTTTATAGCCATCTGCTTTGAGCTCCACAGCGGGAACCCAAAAACTTTGAGTCACAAAATTTTGTGGAATGGTGGAAAATGGTTTTTAAAGAATGAATATGTAAAAAATAATAATAATAATAAAAATCAAGATTTCAAAATTTGTGAAAAAAGATAAAAGAAAATCAACTTTTTTTTTGAAAACTTTAATTTTTTGTTTGAGTGATTAAAAGTGAACACACAGAGTCCAAGTTTGGAACATGAAAAGAATGATTATAAATGAAAAATATTGATCCCAAAAAAGTTTGAGAATGGTGGGCGGACACCCTGCAGTCAAAACTAGTAGATTGCAGTACGTACTACCAGAATGCCATATTTCTTGATGAATGTCCCCCTAGGCACCCTTTTTAAACCACCAAGTAGTCATTTTTTTTTTTTTGAAATTTTCACTTCTTATTATTCATTTGAGATCTCATACTCTCACTTTGGAGATTTCATCTTTTCCTGAAAGAAATATTAGAGCTGTCAGTTTTTGTAATTTTCTCCTTTTTACTTTTTACAAATCTTATAATCTTTTTGATCATTCTTATTTTTTCATATTCATTCTTTCAGAGCCATTTTCCACCATTCCACCAACTATTGTGACTTGAAATTTTTGGGTTCCTGGTGTGGAGCTCAAAACAGATGGCTATGAACATCTGGGAGGAGACTGTACTTATCAAATCACCAACAATTATTAAAGCGTCTGTGTAAATCAGGATGCAGTCCTTAAAGACACACCCTGTTTCTTTGTTTTTTTTTGACGATCATTTCAGGACTCATCAATATCACCTCCACAGCCAACCAGCAACCAACCCACGACCTAAATTAAATACGAAACCCCAAAAAGACAGGTTTCCCTTGAAACTAAACACGATACACATACAAAAATCCACACAGAAAGATAACAACAACGACAATCAACTAAGTCGGATCACTCCAAATCATACACATGGACATGCAATAATAATAATAGAAAACAGAGCCCAGCCAAGAAAAAAAGAAAAAAAAGGAAAGAACAAGTTGCCATTGGTTGATTAAGAGCCAGTATAGAAAGGTGGCAAGTAAGATAGTAAAATGACTCGCAATAGCCAGCAGCACGAGAAACACGGAGAAATCGGGACCGAAGTCGCGTGATAAATACCTGTTCTTTTTTCTGTTTTTCTTTTTTGTTCTCTCTTTGTCAAGTGAAGAGATTGGCGACAGGAGGTTGAATCAATCAGTGAAAGCCAGAGAGAAAGCCAGAATGAAATGAGCTGGAGGCTCTGAAGCCAAGGGCCGATCCAACGATCCTATGAGCCAGTTTTTATTCATCATCCAAAGATGATCATCCAAAGATGAAGGCTGTTCAAGTGATCTGTTTGGGGCGGGAAGCAGAGGATGATGAGTAGATGGGCGATTAGTTCGGTACGTCTTCTTCTTGAGAATTGTTGAGATCGGTGAGTAAGACGGAAGGACGACCGGACGATGTAGAAGGTGGGGGAGGCTCCTCATTAGGAGCCGCACCAGCAGCGACATAACTGGCACGTTGAGAAGCCGAGTCCAGATTCGAGGGTGTTAGATTGCCGCTGGCCATGCTAGATCTGCGCCAGCTGTCGACGGCAGGCGCGACGAAGTTCTTCAACCTGCTGGCCTTGTTTTTGGCCGGGCTGTTCTTGTGATAGGCTTTGGTCGAACTGCTCCTGTGGTGGAAATGGGTGGATTTCTTGGTCGGCCGGTCCGGATATTCGGCAAATCTGATCGACCGGGAAGGCGACGGCGATCGCGAAGACCTCCTCATCCGACTCCGATCCCTTCCAAGCCCTTGTTTTTCGACTTCAACAAACTCGACCATCCGTGAGCCTCCAGCCGTCCGGCGTACAGAATCGATCGATTGTCTTGCAGCCACACTGGGTGATCCTGGCCCCCGAGCACTGCCTTTCCGTCTCGAACGTCTCGAGTGACGGGAAGGGTAAAGCCTGTGACTCGTAGTCGATCGATTACGATCGACTGGTCCATCATAGAAGTTGGATGATGAACCTGTTTCATTTGTCTCTGGCGTCCCATCGTCTTCTTCCCATTCATCGTCACAGTCTTCCTTAATGCTATCGGCTGGCGCTTTTTCAAGACCTGCTTGACCCTCATTTTGATGATCGTTATCAGGATCATTGCAATCGACCGGAGGGATTGGTAAGGAATGGTTGGAGGAAAGTTTGCGTGGAGGAAAGGATGATAGATCTGATGCTATCGCCATTGTCGGAAGGGAGCAAGGTGACCTTAGCTCATTCATAGGAGGTGAGACCACATGTACATTACTGCCGTCTTTGTTTTCAATCACAATCTACAAATATAAAAAAAATCAAACTATGAATCATTTCCAAGGCATGTTAGGAGGGACAAACACACCTTGTTCCCTTCGTCCCAAACCTCCTGAGACTGACCGGACTGCTCCGAGCAGCTGGCTGGAGGACGTGTGGCATTGTAAGAATCAACAACCTCGTCCTTGAGCTGCTCCTCGAGCAAGGTTCCACTTCTTGGTCCTTGACCTGGCAAGGGCATGCCAGTACTAGCATCTGGGGCTAGGGTAGTTTTGGGCTTATTGGCAATCCGTGGGGCGATCAACTTGGCAAGATCGAACTTGCGTGCCAAACCTGTATGAGGCTGCCGGTTCGAGGGGCCCGAACCATCAGAGGTTGGGTTGGAAAAAGCCTGCAAGTTAGCAAGCTCACGCAGAGACTTTTTGGACGACTCCCGCGGTAGCTCATGGACTTCAACCTCGTCGCCGTCCCCACGCTCAACTACCAGCTGTGGAAGGAAACAAGGGGGAAAAAGCGCACAGATTCAATTTGATTGTTTTTTTTTTTTTTTGGGGGGGGGGGGACAAGCTCTTACTCTGCGTCCTGATTTATAAACTCTTTCCTCGCCTTTTTTTAAAACATCAATTCTTTCAGGGCGGCACCACGCATCACGGATCATTTTTTCACGTTGACGAGCCGCTTGCTCTTCGGGTGTCCTCTTTGTTCTCGATCCCAGACGGAGCATACCGACGCGGGTCGTGACTGGTTGTTGATGTTGCGAGCCAGGATCAGTCATACTACCAGTCAAGGGTGGTCGGGTCTCTTGAAGCTCTTCATTTGGGGAAGGTGGCCGTTCGCGGATTTCCCCGAGAGGATTTTGATCACCAACTCGTGTGATTTGGTCATCCGAGATTTGTCGCTGACCAGGCTCCAGAGAGGTTGTGGGTTCTGGGGGCGGGACTGCGACCGAGTCTTGAGGGTCTTTCTCGTCGAATCTGGGCACATCAAGATTGCCATCGACTGGTCTCTCGACGCGTTTGACACGACTAAGCCAACTGGGTTCATTGCCGGAGGCTTGGGTCCAAGTTCGAGTCATAGTATGAACGCGCGAGTGTACGTTTTTGCCAAGGGTGAAGAATGGGATCGAAAGGCCATGGATGAGCACCGAGAAGAAAATGAGTAAGTAGATCAGTGATTGAGTGGTCAACGCCAGGATATCAAGACTGGTTTGGGGTGGGTTCTGAGGTGTAGGAAGCTTGGCCGTCGCCAAGGTGCTGATAAAAAGGGCCCCAACACCTGGAGGAGTGAAGTAAGATCATCAAGAAAGTGTCAGCCTTCAAGTCAAAAAAAAAAAAAGCACAAGAGATAGCAATCTAGTGGACCAACCAATAGGTCCGAAATGACCTGAGAAGACGGCTTCGCGATGAGTTTTCAAGTCTGGGACGATTTTCTGCATTATGACGAGGATTGGCAGCCTTCTGAGAAGAATGATTGAGAATCCTAGTACAACAAGTCTCCATGGCACCAGAGTTAAGGTAGCATCGTTCCAGGACGAAAATGGGATCGTGGCACCAATGTAGATAAACGTAGTGCCTGATTGAAAATGATCTCTGATTCAGCCGCTGAATTCTAAACAATTAAAAAAAAGAAAAAGTTTCATGATTTGGTGAAAAAGGGTGTGACTGACAGTTGATCAACAGATCGAGAATTGAGGAGAAATTAGAGGTTTCGATCGATTCCGTGAACCAATCATCCCATGCGAAGGCTGCTCCACATGCAAATGCAGCCAGTAAATCATCAGATCCGGCCAACGCGGTCACACCGGTTGTGAGGAGCGCAAGGGCCACATACATGGCGACCATCGATTCTTTGTCAATCATCGATCGCCGTTTACAAAATTTCAGGGTTTTGCGGGCAAGGATTCCGACGGCAACACCGATGAGGATACCTAAGAGGATTTGATATAGCACAACGAGTAGGAGCTGTAAGTTGATATCAAATGGAAAAGGGTAAATTAGTACATTGAGTAAAAGGGATGAGGCAATGCTTTAGGAAAAAAAAAAGAAGATGCTTGGATGAATAGCTAACCCATTGCCCAATCACTGATCCAACTCCGGTTTCCTGTCTCATGAGGAGAAACATGGCCAAGTATAAGAATGGAAAAGCAGCTCCATCGTTACAGCCAGATTCGGCTTGTAGGAGATGCCTCAGATGGGCTGGCACGTGTTTTTGGGCATATTTACCCTTGCCGACGACTGAGGCGGCAAGGACAGGGTCGGTGGGTGTGACGGCAGCAGCAATGACGAGGGCTTGAAGGAAAGTGAGGGCAGGCACGAGTGCATAGATCAACGCGCCACTGACGATCCAACCGAATAACATGGCTGGGCCGAGCAAGATGGCTAGACTTCGCCAGTGACGAAGGATATAAGCCTTGGGTAACTCGACTCCGACGGCAAACACGCTGAGTGCAACGACAATCCTCGTCAGTTCGAGTGTCAGGTCGTCGAAATTCTCCCCGGCGGCCCAGGAGCGGGGGTCGAAAACGCCGGAGACATAGGGCCCAAGGATGATACCAAAGACGACTGAGATGGTAGATTCACCAATATACAGTTTCTCCTTGACAAACGCCGAAAAGGAGCCAAAGAGTACGATGAAGGCGGGGATGAGTGTGAGTGCTAGATAGATGTTGTGAACCTGTTTGGGGGGGATAGTGTTAATTTGCAGGTGTGGATGATTACTAAGAGTCAAAGGTGAGTTTACCTCTGGGACGATCCTGAAGAGTTCCTCGTGAGAATGTTCAATACTTCCAGCGCCGGAGGATAGACTATTATTTCGAAATTCGGAGTCGACAGTACTCCGAGAATGAGCGGTTTGTCGTTTTTGAAGAGCAGATGGACGTCGAAGAGTTTCAGATTGAGAATATAGCTGGCGCTTGACTAGTTTGTTCAGCAGTCTATCTGAAGTAAACCAGCCGATTGGTAATTGATGGCTTGAAGTTGATGATGATGATGGTAATATGTTTGGCGATGGATTTGATTGGGTTGGTGTGGTGATGAGGGTGGTGTTGGCTGTTGTTGGTGAAGGTGAAGGTAGTGTGGGTTGGAGTTGGAGGAGGAGGAGGAAGCACAAGGATGTGAAAGTGATCGAGCTCCAGCGTATCGAGGTCATATTGTTGAGGCAGGAGAGTGTTTCAGGTCAAGCTAAAGTTTGGGCGGACAGTTTTTGGATAATAATTATTATTATGATGATGATAATTATAATATAATATAATAGGAAATTACGGTTTGTACTTCTGACTGCGAGTGAGGGAGGACTGGGTGATATAAGTATGGATATATATGAAGAGTATTAATGATGGAGCTGATGAGCCGGGAGGGTCGATGGGTGTTGAGCTGATCGAATGGGTTGAAGTTGGAATCGATCGATGATATTTTGCTGGAGAGTGACTGGTGGAGGCAGAGAGGAAGACAGTCTTGGTATGTATGATCCTTTTTGGGCTGATCGGGCGGAAGGGTATACTCCAGCTGGGATGACCAATGGGCATACAACAGCTTGGCGGGTTGAAGGACAGGAAACGGACAAGCTGGCTGGCTAGCTAGACTTGTTTGTTGGCAAGTGTGCTAAAAAACTCACTGAATCCGAACAAGCCTTAAA